CAAGACCCTGGTGTTCAAATAGCCTGTGAAGAAAACCTTGTCGATCTGGAATATGCAGATGACATCGTTCTCATGTTCGAAGAGGCGAAGGCGCAAGTATTCTTGGATGAACTGACAATCCCGTCCTTTGGTATGCACTTTGCGCCCACAAGATGTAAGGTCATGCTTGTGGACGTGCAGTCACTGGACACGCCACTTACAATCCAGGAAGAGTTACTGGAAGCGTTTTACGTACCTTGGAAGTTGTATTAGTTCTGATTGCAGTGTGACAGATGAGGTGAATGCACGAATCTGCAAGGCTCGGCCGCGTTCGCCAACTTGAGACACCTATGGCGTCAGAATGGTTTATCCCTGAATCTGAAGGGACGTGTGTATCAAGCTACAGCACGAGCTGTCTTGTTGTATGGCTGTGAGACTTGGCCTATTCGAGCAGCGGACCTGAGACGTCTTCAGATGTTCGACAGTCGTTGTCTCAGAACCATAGCTCGCGTGGGTTGGTGTCGGCGACTCCGTATCGAGGCGGTTAGAGAGCGTGTTTTGGATTGTGTAACGGGTACTTCCATCGAAGAGTGTGTCCAGCACCAGAAGCTGCGTTGGTTGGGACGTGTTACGTATGCCGCACCGTCGTTTGCCCAATTCGGAGCGGCGTAAACAGCTAGGTGGCCAACCCTTGACTTGGCAGAGCAGTATGAAGGAGTTCACGAAATGCCTGGGTGCTGTCGGTGCTACTCGCCTTCCAGGATGGGGACCGCGTGATCCTCACTGTGCTTGGTTGGAGACACTACAAGATATGGCTGCCAACCGATGTCAGTGGCGTTCTTGTTGTCAGTTTCTATCCAGATTGCCTGAGTGAATGTCTGGAGGTGTAGGCACCTCGGAATGATTGTGTTAAGCTAGCACTAAGTCCCTCTCCCATCCACCTTTATTTTTTCTTTACAATAAGGCTTTCGAATAAGTCATCGTTGTACGGCAGTGAAGCATCGGTGTTGAACACTGATTTCATGCTGTCAATGATGATGATGATGATGATTGACGAAGGCCTTGCCGATCTGATATATACAGACGACATCGTCCTTGTCTTCAAAGAAGAGAAGAAGGCGTTTGCGCTTTTGGATGAACTGACCGAAGTCATCCTATCCTTTGTTATGCACTTTGTGAGGTCGTGCTCCTAGACATACAGTCACTGAACATGCCACTTATAATCCAGCAGGAGGCACTCAAAGTTATGAACCGTTTTATGTACTTCGGAAGTTGTTTTAGTTCTGATTGTGGTCTTACTTATGAGGTCAATGCACGAACTTGCAAGGCCTCCGTCGCGTTTGTTAATTTGAGATACCTCTGATGCCAAAAAGGTACATCCCAGAATCTCAAGGGACGTGTATCATGGTACCGTACAGGCTGTTTCGTTGTATGGCTGTGTGCGGACCTGAGACGTCTCCAGGTATTCGACAATCGTTGTCTCAGACCGTAGCTCATGAGAGCAGGTGTCGGGGAATCTGCAACAAGGTACTTAGAAAGCGAGCTTTATGTTTTGCAACGTGTACTTCCATTGAAGAATGTAAACATCCCAGAACCTGCGTTGGCTGGGACATGTGTTGCGTATGCCTAGCCATGGCTTGCCAGAGAGAGTGCTGTTTCTCATGCCCAATTTAAAGTATCGAGAAGAAAGAGGGGTATGTAAGAGGTTACGAAAAGTTTAGGTGCTGTCGGTGCTACTAGCCTTCCATGATAGGGTCCGTGAGATCCCCACTGTGCCTGGTTGGGGACGCTGCAAGTTATGGCCGCTCATCGATTTCATTGGCGCCCTTTTTGTCATTTTCTATCCAGATTGCCTGAATGAATGTTTAGAGATTTAGGCACTTCTGAGTGGTTGTAGTAAGCTAGTACTTAATTCCTTCCCTATCCACCTTTATTCTCTTCTTCCCAATAAGGTTTCCAAGTAAATCATGGTTCTACAACAGCGAAGCATTTTTGAACACTGATGTCATGCTGTCGATGATGATGATTATGCCTTGTTGGGAATCATCAACGGTGCTGAAAAGCCCCCATAACCTCTATTTTCATGGATGGTTCCTCATTGGGGCTTACTACTACCGGCTTGTCACCATCACTGCTATATTAAAACGCGCGTTTACTGACCGGAAAGTCCATGGTTCGAATACGACCTCTGCCTCTCGATTTCCCCTGTCTAGGCTTGGGCAACCTGGCAGCTCTCGTGCCTCCGTCGGGTCGCACGGCAGCTAGGCAGCGAAGAAGTGCTACATCTGAACGACTATTCATCCATGGTTTTGGAATTAATTTGGACTCCGGAGAAACGGCTCCTGAACAATGAGCATGAATCTGGGCACAAGCACTCCACTGGTGACCGTTGGTTTGCCTATTACACTTTAGTATTTTGCTTGGTCGTTTTTGGCGAAGCCAAAATAACATTTCACACTATCTTGTCGTATATGTTATGGTGACGTGATCACCAAATCACCAGTTTGCGGCTTGGTGAACCGGGTCGGGGACCTCCTGACAAACTGTGTGATGGAGATACTTTCTGACTTTGCTTTCTTGGATGCCCCACATGTTTCCCTCCTTTTCCCCACACTACTGGTTATCGACGTTTTCCTTTCTGATTCTGTCGCGTCTAGGCTTTTGCAAAGTTTACTCCTCACAAGCATCAACACCACCTGAGATTAGTGAAGGTTGTATGCATGTCATCGGTATATTGAACATCGATCTTCATTCATATTCATTTACCGCGTTCTTTTACCTTGTACATCTATTTTCATTTGCTTTTATATTTGCGGACTTCATTCTAGACCGTTCCAGACTGTTTTAACTAACAACCAATGGACTACGGCCAATATCCACCGGTGCCCCCATCTTCCGAACATTTTCAACCCAATTATTTCAGCCCTGGTGATATGTAAGTTGGTTTTAGACCTCAGTTTAATGTGAGCCTAAACTACACGTCGTCGATGACTACTCTGTATCTACTTACCTCCTCATTTTCGTTTCATTGCATATTCTGTCAATTGCAACATCAATTTACGAGTGTGGACTCGAAGAGATGGAGAGAGAGGGTTTCCTCTGTACCGTTGGGTACTAGCATCTCATTTTTCACACAGAAAAATCATATGCGACTGCAAGATCATGTAGACACATCCGGTTGTTGAGTAACTAGGAGTTAATGAAGTTATTTTTAATAGCTGTTTACCGGATAATCGTTGCCATCCAGATAGGGTACAGTTACCACTGTTTTGTCGGTAAGCTGAAAATTCAATTTCTGTGTGCTGGATCTCGAGTTGGCTCAGTGGTTAGGGCGCGAACTTACTAACCAGGTCAGTGGTTCCAAAACAACCCACCGCTACGCACTACTACGCTCCCCAATAACGCACTGATGCTGTCACCTCGATTGGTGATGAAACGTTTTCAATCGAATCGCTCAGCTCATCAAACAAGCCAACGACCACCAGATAAACAATTATTTTTTATTGTTACTTATTTACAATCATAGGCATGGGAGAGGCTAATGCCTGTGTGCCTGTTCATTTAAGAGCGACGGATAAATAGTTCATTTCGTTACTGGTGTGCACTAATGTTGGTTTGAGCTTGACACATTACAACTCCTTTGGCATTGATGGATGATCCTTTTGATGTGGTTGCGAGAATCGTCTACCTGGACGTTTACACCACTCCCGGCCAACTTACGAAAGACACCACTGCTTGAATCGATTTGGCCAAAGTGGCTTTTGCCAACTCCACTCGTTTGTAACTCTGGGACGGATGTCAGCTTGCCTTTCTAAGTATAGTATGTGCGGCCTCAGTGCAGTTTATTCCACAGTCGTGTGAAACAGGGAGTCTGGTGATGTGTGGTAGGGATGGATACCAAATTGTTAACGGGGTGGTCAATAGTGAGTGACTTTTCTGGCCGATTTTCTACAGTTCCAGATACATCTGTCCAAACTTCGGTTTTGTCCTTTCTGTTAGATCTAGTGCTGACTGGAACGAAGTATATAATAAACTGTCGACGGGCACTTGGCAAAGTAGTTCTCCAAAAGTTGTTTTCGTGAACGGGCTGCGTCTGCTGTTAGGCTCGTTGGGGGACAGATAATTCCCGATAAATGTTCAGCTGTAACACTCTTTTGGTGTCTAGTTGCCATGCCACTCGAAGAAAGCACGAGGACTGGTATATTGCCAGGTTGCCCAAGCATAGACAAGGGAAGTCGACAGGTAGAGGTCGGGTTCGATAAACACATAGAGACGACTGTATCTAGTCCTTTGTTTCAAGGATTGCCGGAAGGTCACTCAAAAAAAGCAAATATTCGGTTCGGACAACTGCCGTGCCATATGTTGGTTCGATGAGACTGTAAGTCGTATTCCTAAGAAGTTTTTGCTAGTAAATCCTCAGCACTGTTCCCAATTCAGTCTTCTCCTTCACTTTTTTCCAGGCAGTTCAGTCAGTTCTCATATACATCCGCACCTGGTGCTGCATCATCTCAAGACTATCCTACGGCGTTCCCTGGCGATTATTTCACACCGGGGCCGGCGAACAAACATGTCGAAGATGTCGAAGATTACGAGAATGAACCTCCATTGTTGGAAGGTAGTTTCGGATGGTAGCTTATTTTATCTCTGTGTTAACCACTTGTCCAGTTTCATACAATTCAATCGGTGCCCGTTAGCATGTTCTCTGTGTAGATCCAGCTCGTATTCGCCACAAATGATATCCGTTCGAGGTGACGGTAACATATAAGTGTGCTTTAGACGACCTTGTTTGTCTGAGCACCATGTTTCCCACTTCGGATTACAGTGCTTCGTAGTAAGGATTGCGGTAGGATAGGGCTGAACTGGTCCTTCGTTAGATAAAGTCGTTTTGGCCACCTGTTTTATTTGGCAGCATGAATGGTCTTTGGATCGTTTGGTAAGTTTTTGTGAGAAATTTGTTGTGCCTATGTGTGTTTCAGAGCCTTCCCTATTTATCCGACCACGTTTCAAACAAACTTTTGACAACGGAGAACAAATGTACCGCGTTGTGCGGGACCAAAATGTTCACTTGTTAAATTTTATCCATCGGAGTAATACTTTTTCCCTAGTCTCGAGAGCTCGTTTATTCATTCTGTCGCTTTCTTTCGAGTTGTTTTATCGGTCGTCTCAGAACTTTTCGACGGCACTTGGAAGTTTCTCACTGTAAAATTTTTTTCATTTGTAGCACTTCTTCGGTGTCTAGCTACCATGCCACTCAAAGGAAGCGCGAGGGCTAGAATACTGCCAGACTGTCCAAGCCTAAACGGGGGAAGTCGAGATGTACAGGTCGGGTTCGAACCACTGAACTTTCGGTCAATAAATTCGCGCTCTAACCACTGGGCCATCTCGCCCTCAAGCTAGTCTACTGGTCGGATACCTGATCAGCACCTCACATTTGTTCAACCTCACATTTGTGTATTCCGATTAACTGCAAGGTCATTATCTCCAGCTGGGTGTGAACAAGCTGAACCACTGATATTTGTGCATTTTTTCTGGCGTAATAGGCTAGAATAGCCGTACCGTATTCTTCAGATAGACAGAATCCGGTTGATTATAGCCCTGGAAGTAGGGTTGTCGTCTCCAAGCGCAACATGTTCTAACAGGATTCACCTATGGTGTCTACCTTTACGTCTATGTGGAGTTCGTGGGCACCCTATTGTTAGCATTGGACAAGATACATATTTGAACTTCCAAAACTGGTGTTTGAATCTCTCCCCAATTATGTGGTTGCTCCTCGACGGGAGGCTTGGCGGTGGTATATTGCGGCCCCTTCTAATTACAATATATTTTGAGAAAATTATCTTCGATACTCTTGAATGATCTGCCTATCACAATCATCATTATTGACGGACTGGAATATTCAATTGTGCTTAACGTTGTAGGCTAGTAAAACCAAACGAGAAACCACTCAGCGATCACTGGACATTAGGACTTTGGGATTTGAGGTGTTCCTAGCGTTGCTTAGAACAGCTGTGCCAGTCATCTTTGAGCCGGTGTTCCATAGGACTTCTCGCGATTGCTACAATTCAGGCTGGCCATTTAACCACTCCTGGATATGTTATCTTGCACCTAAACAGAACTAAACTGCCATCATGTTCTCTGGTTTGCGAGCGCAAATTGCTCTCTGGTAGGGAGAACAAGAATTAGAGTTTCCTAGTGGTGGATTTACAGAAAGCGAGTAGGGCTTCTATGTGGAGGTGTCCTTGTTTTGGGAGTTTTTTAATGGCACCACTGTTTCGTTAAAGAAGCCACTGCTACTCAGAAGCATATCTTTAACACCAAACTTAAACCCAGATTGTCAGTTGTTATCTCTAAAGTAGATCGCTTCTCTGGTGTCCCATCAGTGTTCGTTTAGTGAGATAGTGGTTGCAACTTGATGGGAACATGCTGTTATTACTGATTAAGTCAAACGGATGCGTTTCACTATGCTCATTGAAGTCTTCTGCGCTTTGTAATGCGCCAGTCATTCTCCCACTTTCTCTAACCTTACTGTACTTGCAACTGATCCGTGTCGTTTGCTTTCTTATTTTGTTACGCTTCACTTGGCCATACCCCTTTCAGAAGTCATGGTAATATTACGGGTAGTAGTGGACACCTGTACAGTGTTCTTCACTATTAGTATTTAAGTGGAATTGATTAGGCTTGGCTACGGCACTTAGAGTTGAATGAACAGCATTTGAACTCATATCAACCCTGAGTTTCAACAAGGTGAAGACAATCCAGGACAATGTACCACCTTAGTGCGGTGCACACTATATAGTGCAATGGCTTGGTACGAGTTCAGTTTATCATACCTACACTTTGAGTGAGCAAATGGGTTAGCGGAATTCATCATACGGAGTGGGACTGTACATGACTTTCGTGTTACCAATATCTTTTGACGACAGCTATCAAGAAAGCACTGAACCACCTCAGAACGGCTGCAGTGGTTGATTTGGAAAGTTAGAACAGTTGTGCTAGTCATGCAGTCCAGACGTTGTTCTGTAAGAGGAGTCAATCCATGCTAAAAACTGAGAAGCACTGTACGGCTATTTCATCTCTATTGCAAATCATCAGCAGTGCGCGTTTTCTAACCCTCAACCTTCCGGATGGTAGTCTGAATACTTGACCGTTCGGTCTCAGACGCTGATTGGCAGTGTCTATTGTTGTGGAGTATCACTTTATTCAGCAAGAACGTCCAGCAGCCTTAAACGTTTTACCTAAGCTAAAGTAAATCGAGTTCATGGCCCGTGCGCCATTCAAGAAAAGCACGAGGTACTGATTAAAAAGACGGACTTCTTGGAGCTCGCTCTTTGTCTGAATCCCTCGACAACGTGAAGATGAGTCTCACTTTCATAACAAACTTTAGATAAGCGAGATAAACCCACCTGAGCAGTTGTATAAATATCGTCTAATCTGCTAAATCCTATGAATGGAAGCACTACTTTTACTTACCTATGGTGCCAGGCTGACGCTACCGTATCTGCCAGGAGCAGAGTATACACTGGCAGTGCCTTCCATAGGGTTTTATGGACGAGGAGTGTGATGCTAATGCGCAGAAGATCCATGAGACCTTGTGTTTGGCGACCTGCATCTCCGAGGCATTACCCGTGTCTGACAGCATACAAGCAATGCTGAGGCACACCAGCTGGCATAATTCCTCCCCCGGAATAGACAGTCTAGTTAGGCGCCGTGTATCGTCTAGAACATGTATTTTACATGTGAGAGGACCGTCTACCTCACAAAGCCCTTTTACTCAACCCTGTACTCATTAGGGACAATCGAAGGGCCGACAGTCAGTGACCTGGTTGCGAAATATGAAAGCCCTGAGCAGGAAACTCAGTTGAGTTGACAACTACCGCTCCCTGGATTGTGTACCTTAGGACCCAACTCTTTGCCACCGACAGACATAATTTAGTCACGCGGTCAGTAGCGCTCTAGCTTCCAAGTTATCTCCTTAAACACACAAAGGTACACAGTGTTCCGATTCATCAGGCAACCAGAACAATTCAACACCAAATTACCGATTAGGCCATCTTCTTTAATGTCTTCAATGGATATTCCTTCACCACTCACATTTCGGTGAACGAAACCTTAGCAGCTGTAAGCAGCATAACCGTGGTACTTGTTCTTAGACTGACTAATTGATTGGTCGAATATCGGCACCTTCCCCATTATCATCATCATCAGAGACAGCAACATCAGTTTTGGCACTGATGCTTCACTGCCCTACAACAATAATCACAGGCAGGGTCACAGAGACCCCACCCTGGAAGGCATACAACACCAGCAAAACCCAAACCTTTCGTGATCTCTTTCACGCCCTTCTGCCAGCGTTATAGCCTTGCAGGGTTTCTAACGGATGATAGTGCAATTTCCGTTCATCAACGGAAAGAGTCAATGAATCTTGTTAACACCAGTTAATCCAACAACACAAAGGTCCTTATTAGATGATCTTGGCAACAGAAAAATCGGGCCTTGTTCGTGTGCTTTTCGAGCCGAGGAGTAACTGAGATTAGCAGTGAAGTCCCGAATGGTGATGCTTGAAATCTTTTTGCTTTATGTTTATCCCGTTGGCAATTATCAGATGAACTATACTTTGTATATTTTGTTGCTTTCCAACTCCATAATTTCTCTGTATTGATTATTGCGCTGGTTGATCCTTGATGGTATTTACTCCTAACCCACTGTTCCAATTTATCCTTTCTTTCTGTCAGAGCTGGGAATCAATTTCAGTCACATTACAGGAAAGGTAGGCCTAATGTTTACATCCTTTTAAAATAAATTTACGAGATTTTCTTGTCATCAGTTTTGACTGGTTAGTTAGTACATGGTTTTGTAATGCTGCTTGTCGTGTTTCCTCTTTATATATACGTACTTATTACATTATTAGACTGGTATGATAAGGAGATCCAGTTTTGTTAATATTTTATAGCTTTCCCGGAGGTTTGTAACGGGTTCCATCCTTAAACAGTACCAAAATTTTTCGTAGGCAAGTGCACCTTGCTTATTACACAGGAGAACTATGCACAGTCAAGCCAAGGTAGCTCAGTAGTTAAGGCGCCAGCTTGCGGACGGGAAGGTTTGTGGTTCGAACCCAAACTCAGCACCTTGACTGCTCGTGTTCAGGCTTGGGCAGCCTGGCAGTATGTGGGCCCTCGTGCTTTCTTCGGGTGGCATGGCAGATGGGCACCAAAAGGGTGCTACAGCTGAACGATCCCCCAATCCAACATGCAGGACCGCAGAAAGGCTGTCGGACCCAGACTTTGAGACGGCTTCGGTCATCCCTATCCCTCTTCGTTCTCTCACTATTGAATCTTCCGCGGAGCACTTGGATTATTGGTTACTCCCGCTTGGTGCCAGCATCTTCGTGAACTCAAGTCAGAGTTTTGTTAAATAGCGACAGAGGGGAGCATAATTTCTCGATTGTTCGTGGTCTCTGGTTCTATTTCTGTCCAGTGATTTGGATTGTTCAGTGTTCGCTCAACGATGGTGCTGCTCCTAATGTAATATGTTTCGCATATTCTATGTTTAGGAGAGTATACCCATTTCGTATTTCGCCTTTTATTTCAAATGTATGGCCTGATTCCAGACGTTTTTCCAAGGAGTGATGGTTCCCGTGATCAACTAACCATTGCTACACGAAAAAGCTGGCTGGAGTTTTGTCGGACAAATATTAGCAAGGCGGAGGAGACATTTACTTCAAATTACTCTCCAGGTCACTCATACCAAATAGAATCCTGCATCATGTTGATATCTCAAACATTTGCTTGTTCGCAAGCAAAAAGCTGTCCTACCATCCTCGTGGCAACTGCAGGCGTGCCTTTTTTGTAAGTTTGTCGTGCGAGACAAAGCCCAACCGGCCACCAAAGTCGGAAAATATGAAACGCAAATAACCTGTTCTGACGGTTGAACCACGGCGCTGTATATCATCTTGTCAAACAAACTGTACGTCAGAGATCGTACCGCAACAATATGCTGTCGATTTCCCCCTATGCTTGCAGTGTTTGTTCCGGACGTCTTTTTGAAAATGAACAACACAAGTGACTTGTTCGTCGCCTGCATCATCCTATTTCCCACACGAATGCCCCGCATTTGTGCTTGATGATGAGACCGGAGTCTCCGTTAGCAGAGGTGCATTTTTGTTGAGGAGCTGATATTAGGCTGTTTGGTCAGTCTGTCGATAGAAGTATCCTTTTTTGATGGAGCCGAACAGGCATTGGTGCCTGGAGACGTTGGCTGATCCAAAGATGTTAAGTCGGATTTGACGAACAGTGCATGAACCCAAGAAAACTACTATAGGGATGCAAAGGTAGCTTGGTCTTCCCTAGCACCATCGATAGCACAATAGCGTCCAACGATCATGCTTCGCTGCTGTACATATATGCGGCCTGGGGTATTGAGAGGGCACCCAAACCTAGACAGAAGAAAGCTCATAAATTTGTTCCTTGACATCCACCAGCCTTTTGCTTCGTTCCCTGGTCCTTTTTATTCTTCACTGTGTCTACTGCTCAGTACCATGCCCGGTTGTCGGCTTGTCGATCACAGTGTAGTTTCGCTGTTAGTTTTCCGCAGCCACTTCAGTGTCTCACAGACACCAGGCCATACGACTGCCTTTCACGTAGTCTATTATTCTCAATGAGCGCGAGATGTCTCATTGGTTAAGGTGCCAGCCTGCGGACCGGAGGGTCCGTGGTTCGAGCCCAACCTCAGCAACTTGACTGCTCCTGTCTAGGCTTGGGAAACCTGGTAGTATATGGGCTCTTGTGCTTCATTCGGGTGGCATGGCAGCTAGGCACCGAATGGGTGCTACGGCTGAACCTTTGTTATTAGTAGTATTACACTATTCAATCCCGAAATAGCTGGGCACATCTCCCTTTTCACTACCCAGGCTTGACTCAGTCGATTCGGTTTCTTCTAAGACGGGCGATGAACGGCACACAGTCAGATCCACTTACAGCACCCAGTTTCTTCAAACACTTGATGGGCTGTCAGGTGTATTCTCCTCTATAATGTCACGTGCGATCCTGAAAGTGCACATGAGTCGATACTTCCTTTAGGGTTGGGTTGTTCATTTGGAATGACTAGGTAGTCTTTTCTCAAAATGCCTTTCAACTGTCCTCTTCTCATCCCTATATTAATATGAGGATGGCTTCTTCGGCTTTTGTCGGATCTGATGTATCATTTGGCCCCGATTCGGGCCAGATCTGAAGCTGTTTCATTCATTGTTTTTTTTCGGCCATGCTTTTGCTGCTCATGTAATTCCAATTCTGTTTATTGCAGACGTTTGCCGTTCTCGCACCGTATAAGGAAAGCTCCCAGGAGGTATTGGAGGATGCTGACTTAGCCGGTCCGTTGGTTTTTTGTCTAATATTCGGCTGTACACTACTGTTGGTAAGCGCTTGTTGAAACTTCACCCGATTTTGCGTTTGAACTGTCACTGATGGATTGACACAGTGCACTGGGAGCAACCTTCCAACGTGTTTTTAAGGTCTACTCATCAGTACGTAACGCTGCAACATATAAAAAGTAGTAGATTTTTTGCAACCAAGGTAAACGCAGTGCGTCAAAAATCCCAGGGCATATTTAGTCCATGTTATACCTTCGAGCTCTAGGTGGCTCAGTTGTTAAGGTACAAACTTACTGACCGGAGGGTCTGTGGTTCCATTCCGACCTTGGCATCTCAACTGTTCATGTCCGGCAGTATTTCGGTCCTCGTACTTCCTTCGGGTAGCATGGCAGCTAGGCGCAGGTGGGTTACAGCTGAACGACATTTAGATTCTTGATTTCGACGTAACAACATAAAACCAGAACGTGGATGCAAAATTAATGACACATCTAAATGGTAATGAGCTGCTGGCTTTATCACCCAGCGTGGCTGAGCGGTCTGAGGCACTCGTTAAGAGCATACGGGCTAACATGCATCTTGTATGCACTTAGGAGACAGCAGGATTACTTTGCTCGGTAGTGATTTTGCAGTGAGGAAATCCCACTTGATTCGTTTGTCCACCCTAAGCACGGATAGCATAATCTGTCTTCCAAATTCCCGCCAACTTGTATTCACATTGTCCTCTTGCACTGAACTGATTTAGTCCTCCAAGGTCAGTGTCTTCACGTCTGTTACCGAAAGTCGTGAATAAGTTCGGGGGTCAGGTCACACATCTGAAGAGACCTCAATGTCAGTGAGCATATGAATGGATACGACCATTGCACTAGCCGGGTTAGACAGCCCCAACAATGATTCATGGTTCTAGGCATGTAGTGCACAAGAGAAGTAGGTTTTGGGTGCAGAAAAAAGGCGCTAGCGGCTTCACTTAACGAGTGGTGATCATTCGCAATAAATACTTCGTGTTGAGCCTTGCTTGGTACTAATCCGGCTGACACCTGTCGGCGCGGAGTCGCTCTTTTGCGGGGGACTACACATTATGATCGAAAACGGTAGCTTAGTACAATATATCCAATACTCTACTAGTCTTGTCCTCTGGTTTAGGGACAAAAGTTACACCAACTTAGTACAACCGGTGTTAAGTATGTTGCCGCCGGACAAAATGGTGGCAGTTAAATATCCGCAAAAGCTTACTTGGAGTCGCTAACGCCTCATGAAGATGTACCATTTTGAAGTGCATGGCCTAACCGAACAATTTGAATACGCGTGATGCTATCATAGGGTTGATTGTTCGTTCTCCAACGTATCATACCTTTCACTGACGGATGTATATGGTTTCGTCAACAGTTTCTGAAGCGCCAGTCGATTACGAGGGCCCTTTCGTTCCATTCTGTGGAAAATATTTGTGTACTGCTTAGAGGTGTTGACCTACAAACTGTTTTCAGAAATGTCTACACTCTCCTTTTGCTTCGTCCGTTTTCTGCCAGTTCCAGTAAATTTGATTTGGTTCCTTTGTTTTGCATAGGCGGGCAAAGTCCACTTCAACTACATTTACGGTCTAGGCGTTTTTGGTTGTCTTGGAATCTATCTCCTTCTCACAATGATGACACCAAATGGCGTCACTCCAACGCGTGTGGCTTCCACTTTGGGCTATTGCTTGTTGCCCATGTGTCTGCTATCCTCCCTTGGTATCCTCATGTCACTCACGTGAGTTTCCTGTGTACAGTGTTTATTTTATCATAATTTTGTGCCTGGTACTCTCTGTCCCTTCAGTTGTTTTCTTCCCCGAGTCTGCTCCCCTTACGTTTGACTCCCGACCCAGCATATGGCCAAAATTTAAAGGAATTGTTCCTTGCTAAGTAATAGCTCTGTGGTGGAATTTTGGTAGCTCGAGTGCATTGATTATTTGTTGGTTCGTTCGCTCGGTTTTCCAGCTCTTGATCGCCATTTAAGATCTTATCGATGTGCATCGATTGTTTACAGTAAATGGTTCCTCCCACTCCGAACAAAGCCTACTCAAAAGTTTCACTGGTCCCAATTGGGAAGGGAGGTCTCTCTGGTACTACCTCAAATTTGGTGATAAGAATACGGCACAAAAAAGTTAGTATGTTACTACTGTGACGGCGCTATAACGTGGTTGGACGCCTCCAAACAGGTCTACATCTCCGGAGACAACTCGCGAAGAGATCGACCAAATTTCGTCTTATCCATGTTGGTCCCAAACGCTTTCAAGACACCAACTAAAGTACTTACCTCTTCATGCGTGGTAGGAATGTTCGAAAGGCGTACCTCCCATATCCAGTGCATTGGGTGAATACTGCACACCAACACAAATCGAGATTCACAGTTACAAACTTGATTCAATCAAAAAGGAGATCGCATTTGGCTAGAAATTGACAAAAACTGGCATTGTGGGAGGGAGTTCACAATTGAGATGCATCGAATGGCTATTAAAATCTCGTATTTCCGTGTAACCAAGACGTTCAAGGGTGTCTTTTGATGGGGTTGGTCATATGAGCTGGCTCGCCTCCTATACAGCTGAAAAATTAACTGAAGTTAGCGGTGCTCTTAAATACCAGCAACAGAATTTTACTCACCGAAAGCTGCACCATTTAGGTGGAAGCACTCTACGTGAGAGTATGGCTGGCTTGAAGTAGGATAGTTGCTGTCTTATGGCGTATCTGTTAAAGAACATTACTTCGTGCCAGCCAAACAGGTTAGCTACTTAGGGCAAAGCAAGCAGGAAACGGGCAACGTTCTCGCAACATTCTGATCGAGATGGACCAAGTGGTTAGAGTGGAATTTACTGACCGGAAGGTCCGTGGTTCGAATCCCACCTCTGCCTCTCGACTTCCCCTGTCTAGGCTTGAGCACCCTGGCAGTATTCCGTCCCTCGTGCCTCCTTCATATGGCATGGCAGCTGGGCACCCTAAGGGTGTTACAGCCAAACGATTTCGATTTTCTGATCGAGTTTTGAACATAGGCCTATTCAGTCTACGATCTCGGCCCAAAAGTCACATCAAACCGAGCTCAAACGGCTCCTATATTATGCCTTTCATCCGCTTTTCCTCACCAACGACAGATGATCTTAACTAAGAGTAGAAATGAGGAACAATGCTTTCTCGAGGGCATGCCCGCAACAAATGGCCTGGGAGTGTCATTAATTATACTCATTCATCTGTTTGAAAATGGCTATGAAACTCTGGCTTCTTCAACGACTGTTGTTAAGGTGCGACACAGAATAGAGCAATCTTGACATTACTAATCAATGAATTCCAACTGCGACCACTTTGAGTCACTCGGTATGTGGAGGGAGTTAGTTTTGAAGTAAACTACGACCCTCGACGTTACTCAACAATCTCATGTTGCCGTTCAGGTTGCACAGGATTGTGCTAGCCCAAGCTACTGAACAAAAGCTAGGTGTTTTTGAAAACATTACATGTGTCAATTCTTGATGATGCCTGGTTTCAGAGGCTAGCTATCAAAATTCTACCTGGACTGTGCGCAAACAGGTAGTGTATTTCCTGCCAGTAGTCCCTAGTCCAAAGTTGAGTCGTACTTACCGGTTGATTAATTGTGAGCAGTTACACGGTTCTTACCAAACATACGGTCTAACCGGAAGTGTGTGAACTTGATTAATCTGTAGTATACCAATAAATGTAGCACCAGAAGGAAAGCTTCGTGAGAAATGTTCCGTATTGCTCGCGGACGTTTTCGTCTCCAGGTTCGCTTCAGGAGCCACCTTTGTGTTCATATTGTGAATACAATTTGCAGTAGCATTTGTGGTGGTGCTTCCAACCCGAAGTTTCAGAGGTTAACTCCTTGTTTCTGTTTTTTTTTCAGAAATCTTCTGGGAATTGTGGCCACCGTGGCAGTAGTCCTATGGTGTGCTATATCAGCAAGCAAACTGTTCGTGCGTGCACTCGATATGCAGCATCAACGTATCTTGATTGCCTACCCCTGTGCTCTTGTTTATAGTGTTTTCGCCCTTTTGGTAATCTTCTGATTTGTCTGACAAACTTTTGACTTGCTGATTTTTCGTCCTGCACAAAATGTGACGTGATCTTCACCGCTTTCCTTCCCCGAGAGTTTATCTGTGCATATCTGCCCAGAAGAATGCTTCGTTGCCCAACTGTTTCTGGCTATCTTCCTGTTGATTGAATGTCGCTATCAAGGGTTCCAATCCCTCTTGCCTTGATAAAATATCAAGTTATGTGGAATCTTTTAACCGGTCCTTAAGTCGTTGAGGGTAACGGTGATACTACTGATGGGGAGGCACGCAAGTAGTGTGTTGTTCGTGGAATTTCGCTTTGCGTCTCTTGAAAAGGGGAGATCTGTTGCGGAATTTGTGGAGTCACTTCGTAACGTTTGCTTGGATTTGAGCGACGAATGATCGGAGTCAATAAATATCCAGGATAGTTCAAGAAGACTCGTTAAGGAGAAGATGGATATCCAGTTTTTGTAAATAAGATGCAAAGGAGAGTTTTGCATCCCTGTATAATGGTCTGTAACCGGTCAGTTGGCATATTCTAGAAAAATTCCGCAGCGAAGGCCTTCTTCCTTTCATTTGGTGCCGTCACCAAGACAAGGATGAAGATCCCATGGCCGCAACCCTTTGAGGATGGGAATATTCGGACCTTCGTTGCGAGGTTATTAGAAAATGCCAACTGACCGGTTACAGACCATTGGACAGAGATGCAAAACTCTCATTTGCATCTTATTTACAAAGACTGGACATCCATCTTCTGAACGCGTCTCCTTGAATTTTACTGGATATACATTGACTCCAATCATTCGTCGCTCAAATCCAAGCAAACGCTACAAAGCGACTCCACAGATTCCGCAACAGATCACCCCTTTTCAAGAGACGCAAAGCGAAATTCCACGGACAACATACACTCCTTGCGTGCCTCCCCATCAGTAGTATCACCGTCACACCTGTCGTGAATGTCCCACTGTGGAGAACTGAAGTTGCGTGCACCCAAATTCAACCATCTGTCCACAAAAACCGTTTTTGTGAGTGTGAAAGAGGCATATGCAACTGAATAATGGTGAGGCATATGTACCGAACCAATTGCTAGACAGTTTTAATGTGTCAAGATATCCTACTTCCGCCTTGTGGATGTTCGTCAGTCGGCTTGTTGTGACAGAGGTACGTGGCGAATGACATAAACGAGCTAGCTCCAACCGCAACCTCTTAACTGTGGGGTTTTTTTGGACGGGGCGGAGTAGTTGTTTGAATGCAGGGCTGTAGCTAAGTGAAATACGGGCAGTGCAGTGGTGACCAGTGACGCAGAACTGCCGCTTTCGCTATGTATTCCGACGAAGCGCGGCAACAGTCCAAGATTAGAAGAATGAATATTTCAGCCGTAACCCTGTGGGTTCATAGCTGCCTTGCCACACGAAGGCTGATATACTGCGGGTTGTCCAGACACAGACGAGAACATCCGATAAGCCTGGATTGGGTACGAGCCACGAACCTTCCGGTTGGCAGGTTCGCGTTTTTAACATTCAGCTAGCTTGAGTTCCTGGTCGTATTTGTTTCTGGAAAATTAGTGACCAGTTTGAACCGGACCTGACGTAGCGGTAGCTTTTAACCGAATATTCTGACATTTTTACTGCACCTGTTAAGGCTGGAGGTTGGAAGTATTTCGGTTCTTGTGTTTCAAGCATTATCGTATGTCCCATAAGGATAAGCTGAGTCGATTGTAAAATGGGTGGTTCAGATTAATTCAGTGTCAACTGGACAAGAGAGGGAGCATAGGCGTAAACTTTAAGCCAGGAGAGGTCGCATCTCGAGTCCACTCCCGACATTTCGATCTCCTTCGTCTAAGATCCGAGAATGTTACGGTCTCGTAGTTCCTCTGTGTTGAGCCTGAAGGACACACTGGAGTGTGATTTAGCTTCGAATTTGGATGTACTGTAGTCCTTCAGGTGTTATCACAATAAACGAAGTTCAATCTGCTGTGGAACTCTCCATCCCGTAAGCGATGAAGAGCGGAATTTGAAACCGTAAGATCTGTTTGGCTACGTGATTCCATCAGCGCACGTTTAAGATATTCTGACTGATTTCAAAGCGGTGACGATATCCGTAGAATTTTCGCGTTCACATCTTGGCACGGTCATGCTTGTCAATCCGGGATAAGCGCCGCATTGGTGTTTCCCCCTTTGTGTTTACTATTATACCTTAAAAGGAACACATGCGAAAGACAGGTCAACGTTCCATATACATCCCTCAAACTTCAAATGATTTTATGAATCCAAATGAAGATAAAATGACAACTAAAGTTAATGCATGGTGTGTTCTTTAGAAAAATTCGGCATCATTACGAAGTTTGGAATAATAAAACACGTCCACATTCATTTGGTTACGGGGCAGGTTCCTCGGTTGGGCATGCCACTCATCGATCCAGCTCTTGATGTGCTGCAGCTCGCGTTGCCTTGCATCAACGACGTCCGGCGGATCAAGTTCATTTTTCGCTCGCAGGTCAAGGTGATGCGCTCCGGAAGGTATGCGAATGACGTTGCACCCCGGAGCCTGGTCGTCCGTTAGAACCCCGAAGGCGGACCAGGGATCCAAATCCCCGTTACTGAAGAGTAAACGAATAGGTCATGGTTCTTTCGAATGACGGGAACAGAATACAGTGATCAAGGAAGAGAAAGGGCTACATGAATAGTAGGAGGCAAGTGTTTTTCGCCAGTTAAAGCTTTGATGTAAAAATCTACATTTGCAAATAACACAGCAACCTATTCGATCACTTTAACCTCTGCGACGTTCCGTTTCACCGCTCGGATTTCATTCATACCGGCTCAGCTGTTTGATTTCTATGGCAGACCAAGCGTACATACATCCGAATTGCACCATATGCAGCTTCGAAGTGTGTCGTTATTTCCCGCCATCAGAAAGGGTACAGAGAGAGAGAGAGAGAGAGAGAGAGAGAGAGGATAAAGCGCACATACCATCACATAGTGCTGCGTGCTGTAATGATGAGAGCCCGCGCGTACCATAACAAGCGGGTGAATTTAGAACCCTTCTCGGGTGTGACGTATCCGAAACCCACTGGGTATTCGATCGGCGGTTGGGAGGTAAAAACTAGCCATTTGCCGTGAGGACCTTACTTGATTGGGTACTTCTTGGTCCGATGAGAATTGAGGCGAGGCAGAAGATTGCCAACCATTGTATAATCGGGTGCAGTCAGAACATTTACGAGCCTTTGCAGCAGCTCTACGACTCGGAATTCACAGATACTTCAGCATACAACACTAGTCCCTCCTTCGAGGACCAGAAAGCATATTTTGATAATAAAGACTGGTGCGGTGCGGGTCAATGGTTCAGGTTATGCTTTATCAAATTGCGGCACAAATGACCGTAACCCATGTGTTTGTGACTGCTTAAAGCCCTTGCTGGACTCCGTAACGGCAGATTTTCGTTAACGAGCTAAGTGCTTTGCTTTTAAGGCGAGGCATGAGGAACTGGTCTTCCAATAATCGCCATTAATCTGACCGAACTCACGTCTGGTGTGCAAAACATAACGACGGACACTGGCAATGGAGCGTGCTCTAACGATGCAGTTGGATATACATTCCGATGCAATTATGGTCGACTTTAATTTACCGACGAAACCGCCAACGCGCAGAGGCGCTCCTTTCTGTATGCATTCACCGTATGATCCTCTAGGATTCGTTTCTCGGTGGTCAATACCAGACAAGTGCTACTACAATCCGTGTGCAACAGTGAATTTGTTTGTGTTGACCCGTTAAACGATACCGATTACTTTTGCCGGGAAAATTGGCTATCCAACCTTCGTAACATCCATAACTCGCGAGTCCCCACGTGCATAAATCCCAAAGAGTTTAGTGGTATTCCCCGTGCCGAAATTCACGTACTCTGCAACGCATCAGAATTTACATATAGCGTGGTAGCATATGCTCTCTTCACGGTGAACGCTGAGGTTTCTGGCTGTTCATTTGTCTTCTCGAAGTTGCGGGTGGCTCCGTTTAAGTCCGTTTCAATACCAAGGTTAGAGCTGACAGCTGTTGGTTTGGCAGTTTAAGTGAAAAATCTGATGGGAGCAATTAAAAAAGGGCTACTTCCAGCGTACTGCGTTTTGAACAAACTCCATGACAGTTCTCTACTATGTCCATGAGGTACCTCCTGGGTTTTGTACTTTTGTCTTCTCGGAGGTCCTGGTATTTCGCGTCACACGAAGATACCGTTTGGCTGTTAGAGTGTTGGCATCCATTTTGCGAAAGTAGCTGCAAGTGAGGTTGACACTGTAACGAAGTTTATCATTGAAAACGTCTTTATGTCAGGGAAACAGCGGATTCGTTTCACTTTATACCACCGGAGGCAACCTACCAATATTTCTTCAAAACATCCCCAAGTTCGCAAGTTTTTTTTTAGCATAAACGTGGGGATATCAAGCAAGTGTATTGACACCACTTCGGTTGCTGACAAAATTCAACACGGGAAACTCCATAGATAAATTTGAATACCCACTCCTCTAAGGATTGGTGGTCAGTATCAGTGGGGTGTAACCCGATGGATTCGGTCTGGTGTCACACTGCAACAGACGCTTTTGACTGTCTTCAGGCACTCTTTCCTATGTAAGACAGGATGCTCTCTAAAAGTTTGCTCGACAGCAATAAGTCCACGCGAGATGGCTCAAGTGTTTAGAGCGCGAATTTACTGGCCGGAAGGTCCGTGGTTCGAACCCGGCCTCTGCCGCCCGACTTCCCCTGAAAGTATCCCAGCCTTCGTGCTTCCTTCGAGTAGCACGGCAGCTAGGCACTGGAAGGGTGTTACAGCTAAACGACTTTTAATAAGTCCACGCAATATCTTCATCTGATACAATACAATCAAAACCTTTACATCTATAAAGATAGATGAAACGCTCAACAAAATCAACTCCATTCTGAAATTTCAGAGGAGCACAAAGTGATGAGAATTCTGGAAGAGACAGTCATACAAGAGTGTGACAGTTGTTGAACCAAACTGAATTGTCCGTGTGATAACTACAGAGCCTCTCATACCAGGTTGGTCAATGAGTGGCAGTGAGTCTCAAAACACGGCGTCCTGGTCTTCCAGGTTGTGAGTTTGAACTTAAAAATGTGGGACGCTGTGGTGTTCTTACGCCGACAACCGCTACCTTGTGGTTAGGCTTTTGAAACAAATTATTTGGTTGAAGACCGCAACCGTCTCTTGTCCAAGCTTGAGTACTCTGGCAGTATCGCACCGCAACCAGGAATTTCACAATTACGAATAAATTCATGTCGCATGGGCCGTCGAGTGGTGTCGGGTCGCCTTAGTTGCTGCATAGGGCAAGGTGGATAAGCGAAAACAGGCAACTGCTGATACCTCCCTTCCTACACTTTCAATTTTTCCCTCTTCTACCTTACCCCACCCAAGTTTGAACACTCCCTTCGCAGGTCCTACCACCAGGGCTGACCGATTTGTTCAGCATTCACCACACTCAGCTACAGCTTCCGTACGTCCGACTTCAGTGACGACCCTAAGCACTTCAAAGTCTGTCTCCAAACCACGAAAGGCGGTCTACTGCCTTTATTGTTCGAACACTGAATCAAGCACAAGCGGCTGTTGCTCGTACGGTGGATTCCCTCCGCTGATGCAGAGGCCGCCGCAGCTGGATATACTGGGGTAAGTATTGCATTGAGTGACAGATGGAAAGCGTCTAGGCAGGGTTGGGTGAGAGAATCCCGAAAACGTGAGGTCCACTGCACCCTACTTATCGTGTCTACCTACACAAACTGAAACTCTCAATATAATAAAGACCGTTTCTATAAAGCTCTAGATGCTCTTCTACAAAGCAGTAAAGGCCGAGATATCGTTGTAGTTGGTGGTTACATGAAGATCCAGGTGGGTAGACTAAGCGCACGCCCTGTTGGCCACGGAGAAGCTAGTGGACCCAGAAACCAAACGAAACATTCAGAGCCGGGTCCTCGAACATCGTCCCATGTCGGATATGAACGGCCAGTGGGAACAGAAGTCCACAATGCTACTCAGAAACGGAACTTCCGTTAGCGGTACAACCCAGCGAACTTGATGCGAACAGTGGACCTCTGATAGGATCATGGCTTCGTTGGACGCCCGACCACAGATTCTTCCTGACTGCAACCACAACTCAAACCGATACATCATCCGACGCCGGGTAAAACTGAGTGCCCATGCAGACGAAGAAGTTTGGTGGACCTGACAGGCCGAAGGAACGAGGCAATAAACCATTACAAAGGTTCGCGGGCTGTTCTACTTGATTCGTTCGACTGGTATCGGAAGCCTCTTGTCAGCGAAACTATCAGGGACCACAATAGCTCTGATATCCAGCAACGGAGAACGTTTAGACGGCCGGGGACAATACTTTGAAAAATTCAATTGCCTATCTGCTACCTCCAATCCAGACTTACGGCCTTCAACAGAAAGGCGCATTGTGAACACGGAAACCGCTAATCCTCATAAGTGTCCGAGTGTATAACCCTAATCAAGCGTCATTGTGCTCCTGATCCTAACGATCCTTCATCTGCTCCGTTCAAGGATGGAAGCGAATTCCTCAGTCAGTCCCTGTTGAGCCTATTTGCGTCTCTCTAGGAGAAAAAGATGGTCACAGTTTGCTGGTGTAAGTCGATAATAGTATCCAGTTTCAAAGAGGGTATTCGGATTGAATGTGGTAACCACGGGGGTATAGCCTGACTCCCTTTCTAACAAGACTTTTGGGATCACTGATTCTTCGTCGTCTTACAGTGGCACGGGAATCCTTGAATCGAGAACAAACGGGATTACAGCCGGGTAGAGGTTGCATCGACCGCATCTTAAAACTCCGCTGAATGTTAGAGCACGGCCATATGTACAGACGACCCTAAGTCTTAGTAATCCTTGATTTCAAGGTGCGTATGATTCTGTCGATCGGTCAGTGCTCTTAAACAAACTTGTTCAACAGGGTGTGCCCCAGAAGTTGTAAACATAAATTTCAAGGTGCGTATGATTCTGTCGATCGGTCAGTGCTCTTAAACAAACTTGTTCAACAGGGTGTGCCCCAGAAGTTTGTAAACATAATCTGGTCCCTGTATTCACATACTTCTGGGCGTGTGAGGGCATATGGTGAGCCCTCCAAAAGCATGCCCACCACAGAAGGTAGTGTCCAACAGGGCTATCCACTCTCTCCATTTTCGTTCAACTTCGTGATTGAAACAATTCGGTTAACGCTGGGAGGTCTTCAAAACCCTATCATTTAATCCGTTGCTATTGTGAACCTTGTTCATCTGAAGCACTCATATGTTATCGCCCTAGTCTCTGAAGACAGACGCTGCAGCTCTGTTGAATAAACTGACAACCGCCATGGCACGCGCCCTGAACCTTCAAGGTGCAAATTCATGCTCCATAACGTAGTCGCTGAACATGTACCTTACAGCTGAAGGAAAATCCTGGAGGTTGTGGAGAATCTTATATACCTTGCAGTAGTATTACTCTGGCGGAATCTCAGAGGCATCGTTTGCGGTCTCAAAAGGGCATACCACTTGGTCTCAAGGGTCGCGTGTACCAGGTGATAGTTGGGGGCTTCATTGTTGTATCATTACGAAACATGGCCTTTGAGGACAGGTGATGTGAGGCCTCCTCACGATTTTGACCACAGGCTTTTGCCTCAGAAGCGTTTTGGGTGTCAGATGGCATCAGAGAATTCGCAATTAGAAAACGGGTGTTAGGTCGTGTAGCAGGTACTTCAATCGCAGAAAACATCCAGCACCATCAACTGTGGAGGCTCAGCCATATGCTACGCATGCTGAAACACTGTCTATCGAGACAAGTGTTGTTCTCTATGCCTCCTTCGAAATGGCGGAAACTTCGAAGTGCGCAACGTATAAGTTGGCAGAAAAGTGTGAAAGAGATTACCAAGATTTCGTGTGTGGTTGGTACGGTGCGCCTTCCAGGATGAGTGTTTGGAAGTGTAGGCACGTCAGAATACTTGCGATAGGCCATCGCCAAGTCCCCTTGCTTATCCACTCTTTTTTCTCCTTTTAATCATAAGGCTTGAAATATTATTAGACTGTGGTTTTAAGGCATCAGTCTCAACACTGTTGTTGTGCTTGATGATTATTCACATGCGCTTACCATTCAAAATCCGCCCAGAAATGAGACGTGGTTAATTATCGGCATCAGTACCCAACAGTAGATTCAAAGTGTTCACAGGGCACGTTCAGGCCAGGCGTAGCCGACAGATGCTGACCGCTGACGGAAAGTACAATGGGATTGATGCCGTATTCGCCGATGGGACCCAACAAGGTGACTGAGACAAATCTGCCCTCACGGAAACGCACCAGAACGTCGTCTGCGTGGCGAAATGAACTAGATTTAAGTGATGGATATAATACGATAGAAAAGACAGTTTGTGTAAACCCACAGATGACGAAAGTCGTGACTGCCGTCATAATAAAGGCATGGCGTGTCGCTCATCTGCCGAAGCAGACCGCACGTGGCCAAAACGCTGAATTGAACGGTCACGTTGTCTCCGAAACGTTCCAGAGAGGACGTGCTTGAGGATTCGAGCGGATTGGCCGGCAGAACTTCCGATCCGTACCCGGTCTCCATGGTCTGGACAACCGGTGGGTTTTTTGAATACGACTCTTATGAAGTTGGCAGTTCTCAATAATATTTCACCATCTATGGTTGATTTCTGGGAGCCAATTTTGCTTCGTATGTGACGCGATGCACTCTGTAAGATAAATCAACCCACAACCGAGGGATCTCGGGTCTCACTTTTATCTCTACAATTCATTCTGACTGCACAAAAGGCAGGAAATTTAGACGTGAAAGAAGCTGGATTGTTTTTTATAAACATAGACAAGAGTTGTTATTCTATTCAGGCTTTCCGAAAATTTACAAATTCAGTGAGAGATAATTTGCTGAAGGCCAGCGCATCGTGTGTATTGGACAGTCCACAAGCTGAAGTCGCTACACATTGAGTGCTGAGCAAGCGACCGAATGCAAAGGTGAAACCTTCAAGAGTGACTTGGATTTATTTGACTCACCAGGTCCTGACCTGAATGTGTGTAGATCAGCATTATTGCATAACAAAGTGCAGTGTGTAAAATCAATGAAAGAGTATGATTTTAGACGTACCTAAACACGATGTTAGTAGCAGTTTTGATGTTCTTTCCCCAGAACTCAACTGCAGACCAGTTTATACGAGGTCGAACAGCGAACTTGTCGAAACAGGATTGAGAGAATACCACTGGATCCCACTCTATTGAAGGGAACATACCGTCCCCATTGGAACACATTGATGTCGTCATTTCCAAGCATGTCTGTAAGTAGATCAACAAGTAGTCAGGGGGGACGTACCAAGTGAGGGGTGTCTCCTATGAAAGAATAGGTTAGAACCGGGTTTAACGTTTAAGTTATCTATGGGAGACACACAGTGTGCACTCGCCGTTTGGTAAAACATTTAAGTTCTTCATTGTGATGCAAAACATGGCACCACCTCATAGTGATACATTCAAAAGTCACACAATATGCAACAAAGTATGCAAACGTTGAGAATGTACTTAACCCGGTCGCAACTCATACTTCACCGACAAGTATCTGCCACAAACGGCAACTACGGGAACGATAGAGCATGCAATTTCTTTCTTCCCCGTCAAGCGGACTTCAGGAGACACATGGCAACGGGTGACTTTCAATTCCACATCAAATAACCTGGAAGAACAGGTTCTTCACCCATTTAAAACGGTTGATTTTGCATGTCACATCGTCGCTGCGACGAGTGCAACTCGAAGTAATCTAAGCCAAGAACACGAAAGAAGTCCATCCCTGGCCAGAATTGTTACTGAAATCACTGGAACTAAGAGGTTGTCCGCTCCAATCGTTGTGTTTTGGAAGAAAACTGGTCTTCTGGATTTCCATGAGAAAAGATACTTTCAACATAGACTGGCTTCACTTAAAGAATGGAATCCCCACTGAAAATTCGCAAGTCTCTCAACACCCAAAAATAAGTGGCTCAGAAGGAAGAGTAATTCACATGGAACCGAGTGCAGTCACCGGTCGGTAGATAAGGGTGGCGATAAGAGCAACTCGAGATGACAGTAAAAAATTTAGTTACCAAGATATAATGTGGATATCAGTTACTAAACTCTACACCATCATTTAGCTAGGTAGTCTACACGACTTGAAGGCTCATCCCTACCTCATCAGATGCCCAAGACAGTTGTAAAACGGTTCAGTCGACCGTCATAAAGCAGGCTGCAGTGCGCATTCGACGGAAATTCACCTTTCTGTCTAAGGATGCATCATCATCATAGGCCAATAAGTTATCAGACGTACATCAGACGTTGTCGAACAGAGCCCTATTCTTCCAGGCTCCGAAGACCAATGAGAACTGAACCCTCAATTAGGTTCATTGGTAACCAAGCCGCTGCTGTACAACTTAACGGTTATAAGCATCCGGATCGCAAATAAATTAGGATGAATGAGTCCCACAACGGAGCCTACATTTCCATGAGCGGGAAACTAACGGATATATTAATACTAGTACCTTGTTAATGGGAATAATAGTGTCAATACACATGATCGTTGAGTAGCGAACCACCACCGATGTTCCCCTCAATGCAGCACACAACAGAGCGTCGCACAAGGCCCCTGCAGTGGCTTCACATTGTGCGTGGCGAATCCGGCATGAGTGTGATCAAAAAATTTGAGCGCTGTCTACCATACTGGCTAGTTAGGAATATTTCGGACAGCTTTCTCTCGTAACATTTCATCAGCGAGGAAAGAGCAGTGATTAGGTCATTGAGACAAAGCCCAAAATAAGCCGAAACACTATAGAAACGTGCCACGGTGTGGAGAATGTCACCGTACGGAGACTATAAACTGTGTCAATCAAGTTGGCAACAAACAACTACCCGTCGCATGAACTGACCGCTAGTAAAAAAAACCCTGGACAGAGCTCTCTCACACTCGAAAGAACCCATACGTCTAAATGACTGACGAAAAAGACCATAAAATTCAGAGTTTCGGAATGTTCTCTTATCCACGTAACTGACTGTGCCCATCTTGATAAAGTTTGTCCAGGTTGGTAGGATTTTTGGACAATTAAACAGTGAGATGAGCAGTGAGTGCATAAATTAACTGCATCCGACGGTGACTGCTGTTACAATAATATGTAAAATATTTTATGCAGTTGGACTCTTCGCCCCACACATCCTCATCCAGGACTTCCGACCAACGCCCGCTTTAAAGCTTTTTACTTCAAACTACTAATGAGTAGTTCAAAATAGATGAAAAAACCTGCAAGGTGTGTTAACGCTAGACGAGCTAAGGCGCTCAGAAGACTAGAAGCAATGCATGGGATAACTAACCAGGAATGATAGAGAACGATACAAGATGACGCTAACGTTACACGATTTTACCGATTTTAACCAAATGTACAAAAGAAGCTTAACGCCAACTAGTTGTCTCAATTCCATGCACGTTTTCATCGAGGAGAGTGGAATACTTGGTTTCACGATGGAAGCACACGATCACCTGTGTTAGTCTATTCCTAAATAAGCCATCATGGGAAACGATAAAGTCTTGCTTGATGTCACGGCACAATTCAAACCAACCAACCACAATCCCACGATAAGGAATTCGGGCGAAAAACAAGTATGATACACAGAGGCCCACTGACTATCCGTATGGAAGCATGTTTCAACTGTGATCGGTAGATATATCAGCAGTTGAGGGAGAATCCAGCGGAAACTGATATCACTATTTATCGCCGGATGCCGTTCCACCCAACTTTTTGTGGCAAATTCGAACTACTGAGGTAATCTGAATAGCAATCGGCGAACCTTAGTCTTTACGTCGTTAACTTGTGGCACACAAAACATCGCACATTGAATATGTAACTGGCCATAATTTTTATGCAGAATGAAATCAATGGTCTTTTCGAAATGCAATAACGTTTTGAAAATGAATCTTGCTGACTTTTGAAAAGCTCTGACTGCATGCTGTTTATTATTTTGAAAAGTACTGAATGGCAAAATAAAGAGTTGTCACCTAAACTACGGACTAACCCATTCAACCGTCTTGTCAGTGAACTTCGTTTTTGTTTGTCGGAATGAAGACCTCAACTTTCCCGATCAAATGCGCAGGAGGGCATTTTCGCCTTTCGAGAATATCCTACAATATCGCGCCCAGTATTTTCTAGAATGAACCACAGTCCCTAAGTACACCGAACTTCCAATAGTTCGAGCTTTGGCGTCCAGTGCAGTTGCAAGCAACTGCAGGAGTAGACGAACAAACGAACTGGCTCAATACTAGGGGTGCCAAAATCCTCAAAAACTCTTTGTGTACTTACAATATATATGCATTGCCATTCTTCCGAGAGATGGGCCAAGTGGTTAGAGCGCGAATTCACTGACCGGAATGTCCGTGGTTCGAACCCGACCTCTGCCTCTGGACTTCCCCTGTCTAGGCTTGGGCGACCGAGAAGTATCCCAGCCCTCGTGCCTCCATCGTGTGGCATGGCAGCTAAGCACTGAAAGGGTGATACAGCTGAATGATCATTCTTCCCTTATCGCCTGTTAATCGCTTGTTGTTCGGAGCATTACAGTTGTGTCCGAGGTTTCGTCTTCTTACTATTCCGCTGTACTAGGAATCGAGACCGCCCAACATGGCTGGGGATAGAATATCTTTACACTCCACTCATATTATCGCTTGCTCGCTGCGTTATCGAAACCGTAACAATTAAACCGTGATGCAGAAAAATTCATGGCCAATCCGACTGCTTAACGACCTTGAGCCATTGGATGGAATATTACGGAATCCCACGCTAGACGGCTTTTCAATGGAACTGAATTGAACGAGGTCCCCTACGAGGGTGTCTGGCATCAGAAGTCTGGACAGAAGTTCCAGACTAACCAACAATCGTCAGCACAATATCTGGAAGATTTTTTCGGATGCACTTGCTATTGGGACTCAAGGTTTTCAATGAAATCCTTCCGTCCAAATCCACAGTACACTATCATGCAAAGTTTGTACGGCCCATTCTGTTCTCATATATAGAGACAACCTGACCATGATAGAAAAAGTTGGAGAGTTGTATTTAGGAAGCTACACGTCTTTTGAGAGATTCGGAGTATTATATGACCTCCGTTGTTTTTTTTGGACACTAGTACACGACTGAAAGCAGATCCCGTGTAAATTATGGTAGGCACACTCACTCGGAAGATTAGCTTGCCATGGGGAGAATAAACTCGGTCGTGAACTTACACTTAGTTGACCCTTAAAATCGAAAATGACACAAAAAGAGTTCACTGACGCTGGAATGAACCATGAAAGTGAGATTTTGGTCGGATTGAGGCTGCAGTGCCGAACTTCCTTGTACGCGCGTACAGCAATTCAGAATTACCTCGTCGTCCAATGCGATAACAGCCGAACTGGCTTAAGATCCACGTTTACGCAGTAAATGGAGTCAACGGATTATCGAAATCACATTTTGATCATGGCAAAAATGGACTATGCACAGATTCAAAAGGATCTCCCAGTGATGGTACCAAAATGCCTGAAGACAACGCTGGCTATCGTAAGTTAATAAAAAACTGTAGCGGGCGAGATCACCACTACACTTTGTTTGTTTGTGGCAGATGAACAACAGTGCACTTCCTAAGACTATGCAATCGAGAAGGTGCACCACTAATCGCCCGCTGAATGAACATGCTGTTCGGTACACCTGAATCGGAATTTCTATAGCTTGGTTTACCTTGCAACTAACAACTTTTCAACAATGAGGCCAGCTGTTTTCATTGACATCCAAGCCTATTGAAGTAGGTGATTCGGAGCCATGAAAGCGTTTGCTTCCTAAGAAAAGCAGTGTGCTGCTACCCGATGTGGCTGGGGTTAAGTGACTGAAAAAAAAAACAACGAAATTTTTATATCTGATGACAAAGCACGGACATGAATAAAACGAACCTGAAGCGTCCATGCTTTGGCATCTAGTCCCGGAAGATCTCCCTCAACCGAAATGCAGGACTGATTTTTTGTATAGTTGGTTAGACTTCGTACGGCGGTGGCAACACGTTGCACAATGTCCACATCCACATTTCTGTCAATCGTATCGGAGAGTTCTTTACAGAAGTACTAAGGGAGCAATAGAAAAAAGGTATCACGTGATGCAGGTATCCCAAGTCACTTCAAAACAGGAACATCAGGTAGTGGTGGCAACAGAAAGTACCCTGAAATCAACTGAATACTTGCAGTCGAAGTAACTAATGGATGGACAGGTAATCATGTGGTGTGAAAGGGTGTGACCGGGAGCTAAAATACCTTGCTACGAGCCGCAGAAGGCTAGGAACGCAATCATAAAATCCCAGGTCAAATTTGGGAGAACCGCGTTGCAGGATGCACGAAAATCGACTGTGATCATGTCATAGTTTTCAGCCTCGTCCATTAAATCAGCACGAGTTTCAGAGCCCATATACAGTGAAAACGACGAAAGAATCAATAGGATGTAGTTCACACAACTAACGAAAGTTTTTGAATGACTTAACAAGTGGAATCATGGAGAATTCAACAGTCCACAGGCGACAACAAAGGTCGTATCATTGAAACCATGGGTCGGGCGAAACGTAGGACATATCTCCGCATGTTTTGAGGCGGTAGTTTCCGAGAAAGACTGGATCTCTCTCCATCAGACTGAGACTTGTTTCTTTCTTTTTTTCAGGTTAGCGGGTATGGCTAACACAGACTGTGGTACACCAGTCTTGTAGTGTTTACGGTTGCTGAAAATTAGACCACTGAAGAGCCTCATAATTATGTTGTATTCGGGTGGAGAAAAACCACAGATGAGAACACCAACACACTACATTTATACGGTGTTCTAACTCCGGGGACGAAACAAAAAACAAGTATATCAAGATTGGTGTATTTACGCTGGTTAGTGACCCCTCGATTGGACGCGATACCTAAGTGCATTTATTTCAGTAGTTTTGAGAAGCATCCATACTTGGTCGTTTTTCTCAAAGGCACAGCTTTTCATAACAGGTCCACATCGTTACCTCACCCTTCAGCCTTTGGTGTAGCCCTTTTTCTACACGGCTCAACCGCAACAAGACACTAGTCCCCACGACTGTTGTTCAGGAAGATGGGAACGATTAGCTCAGTTAAATCTTGGAATCGCGTTGAAGAGAATGATGACAATAAATGTTTTCTAGGACTAACTGGTAAAGTATCGGCGGAATACCTTATCAAATAAAGCTTCTTCAGAAATACAGCATGAAAAACGTTCAGATTTCCCCTTCTAAAAAGTGCATTGCCTAACTCGTAGCAAATACATTGGGCAATGTGGATCAGTGGTTGAGGGGGGAGGTTACTGACCGGGAGGTCCGAGATTCAACCCGACCTAAATACATTGGGCAATGTGGATCAGTGGTTAGAGCGCGAAGTTACTGACCGGGAGGTCCGAGATTCTAACCCGACCTATGTCTATCGACTTCTCCTGTCTAGACTTGAGCAACAGTATCCCAGTCCTCGCGCTTCCTTCGGCTGATATGACAGCTAGACACTGAAAGGGTAACACGGCTGGAGGATTAACTTCAATTTTTCATGAGTACATGTGGTGATCCAGAGAACTTCGGAAATCTCTTATTAAACTACAGCCACGTACTTTATATAGACCGTCCTCAGAGAACACAGAAAATTGTATTTTTCGTGAGGTAGGATTTATGCTGGAGATAAACCTGCGTCATTTTACTTGTTCTTGTATTCGGGATGGTTTGCTCATCAGCTTGGCCATACACATGCCTATGCATTCATCACATTATCAACAAGCTCTCAATAAGCTTTCACCTGTTCACAAGTACTAATTAATTGGAAACGTCAATAGTGGTGGATAATGCTGCAGATATCTTACTACTATCAGAAGCACATTCGTTGGATAACAGATATTATAAATACACGCATTGTAACCAGTTCACCAAAAGTGTCGGAAAACGGTCAGAGGTGAAAATCGACCAACTTTTTATATGCGCGCAAACAGAGTGACCTTCTGACCATTTATCTGGTAATATCTGATGAGATTTTTCATCTTGGTGAAACTTACGAACAAAATGCGACTGGAACGTTATATTACTGAAATATCCTTGGTGGCTAGGCAATTGCCAGAACAATTCGTCTAGCACACTAACGCAGGTAATGTGTGGCAGCCGGTTGAAAAGCGAATAGTGTCAAATTAAAAAGTACATCTGACTGCGCTTGAGATTCACCCTGGATGACTGCAGTGGGCGCAGATTTTGTACAGATTATTCGTCGCAAGTTATCGGATTGTAAGTGCTAAAGCTGGTGGTGAAAGGTGTATGTTTGGCGAAGCGAACCTCGGTGTCGCTCCTCGATTCACCAACGTGCCAAGCCCATTACCAATTGCACCTGAATACTCTGCAACCCAAACGGTTTGTCAAACCAAGACAGAAATTGTACAATGACTCATCGTATCATTCTGGAACGTTCTCATCAAAATCGGCTAACGGATGCTAATAATAATGGTTCAGCTGCAACACTCCTTTGGTGCCCAGCTGTCATGTCAGCCGAAGGAAAAACGAGGACTGAGATACTGCCAGGTTGTCCAATTTAGATAGGAGCAGTCGAGATGCCGGGGTTGGTTTTGAACCATGGACCTTCCGGTTAGTAAGATCGCGCCTAAAATACTCAGTCGTCTTGAGCTTAAATGGATGGATGCTGGATAAGGTTGGCGAGATGAACCGGTGTGTTGGATGAAAAAAGTACTAGATCGGAAGAGCGGTTNTGCGCTTAAGACGCAGGAATAGGGAATACGACAAACAGTAGTGCATTCCAAGTAATGGCATAGTGAGTTCGCTGAAGTGAGAATATAGCCGGATTATGGCAGTGGTAATGATAAGGTCAAGTTCGTCAGTGTCTTTAAACTTGGTGTGCCTCTCCCTCGAATCGTCATGCACAAGGGTAACATATGCCACCTTCCATTCATCCTTCATAAACCGTGCCTTTGTCTATTACCACTCTGAACATCGCCTCGCAGGTAATCCTCTGGCATATAAGGCACACGCTCCCTCCGGGTGGCACGGAAGCTAGGCGCTGAAAGGGTGTTGCAGCTGAACAGCTGTTGTTAGCACTGGTATATGAGGCACATGGTTCAAACAGCTTTAGCTATGGAATGACATTCGCTCATCCCCTAAGGGCGAGCAACCTATTTCATAGATCATATGACGACCTCTTTTCGTATCACTGAACCCCGAAGCAGACCCAGACAATGATTCGGAGATATCGACTGTCAATTAGGGATATTCCGCGTGATCGTGAGACCTATGGCCCATAAAGCCACATGACACGTACTATTTCAGAGCATACCCTTCTCCTAACGCCACTTCAGCATCACAGACGCTGGAGATTTTATAAGCCGGTCTGAGCTTCAATTCTGGCCATACCACGGTATAACAATAGAGCGACAGCACGACACAGCGAGCATCTCGTAAGTTGCGCTGTTTGGTGGAATTCTTCGAACTCTTTTGCAACACATGAAAGTGGAACTAACAAGGTTGAGCTGGTTATGAATATCCGTTGGAAACAACTCACATCTGAGAACCTATGTCAAAAGTTTTTCTAAATATTCACTTTTATTAAAAGCTGGAACAAAGTGAATAGGGATGGAAGCAGCCTAAAACATCTGGAATGTAGTGATGTGTTTTTGAAATAAGCAAGAAAATATGAATCTCGACTAGTAAGTGACCCTGATCATAAAGCGGATGCGTGATGTGAGCCGTTTGTGCGGATTTGTTGCGACTGGATGGGCGGGTATAGAGTGCATGGATATGGCACAAGCACAGTGGTGCTTAAGAGAAAATTTTTCAATTCGTTCAGGGTGTGGCCACCGTATCCTTCATAGGCGATGAACCCAACGTTACAGCTAAACAACATTCTTTCTACAAACGGCGAGATATTCGTGCATTGTTTATGAAAACAGTTTTGAAATATTCCTCAAATGAACGTAATACACGGATGTCATCTTATGTTTCACTTGGAGTGACATTCATGATACCCTGTCTCCACAATACTCATACAATGAGTAGAAAAATTTCAGTCAAAAACAAATTCAATTGCAGAGGAGTGTTTATCATTACAAACATACAATTTGATTTCGTCATAGATAAAATTGAAATAGATTCATGGCTATGCCAGAGGGATGAGCCCCAAGAAGAGGAAAGTAATCGGTTGTTCGGGGTTTTCACTGATTTAGAGAACAGTAGCGATAATGTGGAAACAATTTTCGCGATGTACGGCATCACAAAATCCTTGTTTGTGGTAACGTAGATAACCCAGTACGATGTACCTTGTTTTGCCAAAAGCGCTCCTCGCGAGGATAATAAATGAAGGAGCCGCAAAATGCTGTTATTTGAGACGTCCTTCGAGATATCTCAATACACTGCTACGGCAACAGAGCCACGGGTCGGCCCGTTAACGGGAACGAGGAGCATACTGCAGCAACATGTCCGCAGTACCTTAGCCGTATTTATTTTTGTCGAACAATAGCTCCATAGATGACTTCAACTTGCTGGTAGGCTGAGCTCGGCAACCGCCATGTATCATGGAAAGGATACCTTCGTTCAGTGTTAATTTGTGATTGATTGGGAGACATCGATGAAGGTTGAGTATAGCTCGTCTACAGGTAGTTGGACTCCGTTTTCCTTGAGCAGTCAATAATATGGGTGTATAAGGTGTCCATTTCCATCTTCTTGTACTCATTATTCTGGCTACGGGACAGAAAAACCTGAAAGCTGAAGTCCGTCCTTGAGCTGTACCGGATCCCATTATTTTGCATATCACCAAGTAAGCTGACAAGAACTAACCGGAAACTTCGTCCCTAACGATACCTATCACTATGTATTGCAGGGTTTGTATTCACGTCTTCTCGTAGTTGACTGACTTTCGACCGTCAAGCTTGACATCTTACAGGTGAATAATACGTGAGCGTAAGGCACGACATATTATAAAAGTACTCAATGTTTTCCGCTTCGTCGAGGAGCGACAAAACGAGGATGCCATACCCACACGAACGTCACGTAAGGCGACCGTTAGATCGACAATATCGGTGTGAGGACACTGGGACTGAACGGCAGGAAAACCATGCCAAAGCCTGTTTGGGCCACAGTAGGGAGTTGAAGCTCCAAAACTGCAAGCCCTCACGAATGGGCGAAATGATCAGCCTATCAGCCGTAGCCTTCTTCGTCCGCGTTGTGGGTCTGAGAGCACCTTAGTAGATGCTAAGGGTAGATAGATGTATTATTCATCACCATCATCAGAGAAAGCAAGAGCAATATTGACAACCGCAAAGTTTGCTTACCTATATTTAAAGTCACAAAGTGAAAAGATGAAACGAAGAGTCGGGAAGGGGGACCTGATAATGGCTTATCGTTAGAATTCTGACGTGCCTACACCTCCAAGCGCTCAGTCAAACAATCTGGAAAGAAAATGACAGCACGAACGCCAGTGATACCTACTGGCCACCATTACTTGCGATACGTACAGAAAAGCGCAGGGGAGGAATAACGCAGAGCCAATCCTGGAAGGTGAATCGCACCAATAACACCTAAACTGCATACCCTTCTGTCAAGTTATTGGTTGTCCACCTCGCAGTTGGCGCCATTCTAAAGGAGAACAAAACTCGTCTCGGTTAAAGGTGTTTCGAAATACGTGGCATACGGCCGAGCAGCCGCAGTTGATTTTGATGAACATTTTACAACAGAAATATCTGTTGCACAATCGGATACTTGTTTTCTAATCGCCTCGTTGAACGCTATTCGAAAACGGAAGCGCTTCTGAGGTATCGATGGCCAAAAACCTGAAGACGCTTCCATTCCCTCCCCCCACTATTATCCTCCACTTTCACTCCATTTCACTAGAAGATAGTCTCAGTTTTAGGCGAAAACGAGTGGGTGATTTGCTGAATTTCGGCGAGTCTTCACTGTTTCCAACCAACACTGCTACTTGAGCTTTGAATTTGACAACGATGGTTGTGTTATTCTAAAAGCCTTAAACTGCCTATCCAACAGCCACTGCATGGTACCCCCGAATTGAGTGTCAAAGCTTACGAACTGAGGTTCAGTCACCAGCTCCGTCCAGTTGATTTTAGTTTTTCAGCTCACCGACTGTAAACCGAAGAGCAATGGTTCTAGCTGCCGTAACCGCTACCATGTATATTGGTTGACCTAGGAAACGCAAATATTAAACATGAAGTTGTGTGTAGTAATGCAGACAATTAGGAATCGAGAGTCAGCCCAGACGTCATTGGAGATATACATAAGCTGCGATCAAAAATGACTGCATATTCGTCTTTTTATCTATGATGAACATGATCTAAGAGAACTAATATCATCCATGTAGGCAAATGTCTCGAAATTAGTACGACACTCAAGAAGCCATGGGCAGGTGACACAACTAAACCAAAGTTGAGGTGGAAGGATGAGATAGGGGATGCTTCCCAGACATTATTGTACGTCGTGAACTCAAAGGGAAACATGTCGCGAGCTCATGCGTCCACGAGAAGGTGCGTAAGTCCTCATATAAAAACATCGGTTCAGAAAGGTCTCCTCTGCTCAGCATTTACCGCACAGTTAATGTGTCTGCGTTCTATGGGAGACCGATATAGTTCAAAAGCTAGTCGTCAGCCATGAACTTGATGCTTTCTAATAGTTAGAAAGAGCCCCGAAACGCAGCACTGACCCATATGTTTTCCGGTCGTTCCTCTTCGCTAAACCAATAATATTTCAGCTGTAGCACCCTTTCGGCGCCTAACTGCCATGCCACACGAAGGAGGCACGAGGGCTGGGATACTGCCAGGCTGCCCAAGCCTAGGCAGGGGAAGTCGAGAGGCAGAGGTCGGGTTTGAACCACGGACATTCCGGTCAGTAAATGCGCACTCTAACCACTTGGTCTATCCCGCTACCATAACCTAGTTGCACAACTTGAAACCTGCAGCTCAGATACAGGAAATCATGTTCTCTAGCACCTCCAAAAGTGCTGCTTCAAGCCTATATTCTCAGAAGATCGTTGGACTTTAGCTCAACTCGCTCTACAATGTCACTCGCTCATGATTAGACTTTGGAAGGTAGTGAATCCAGTGAGCACTGAAACAAAATGAACTAGCTCACAGAGTATATATGCATGAAAAATCGCGACCGGATTCCCCTTGTCAAAATATAGGATGTTCCCAAGTAATGCAAATTTCAGTGATAACCTCACTGGAAACAACACAGGTGCTTCACTTCTTCGAAACTGCAACACCTATGCATGCGACCCGAAGAAAGCATAAGGGCTGAAGTAACGCCAGGTTGCCTAAACCCAGACAAGAGCATTTAAGAAATCGAGGTCGGGTTCGAACCGTGGACCTTCTGGTCAGTACGGTCACATCTTAATCACTGAGCTATTTACTTAAGTGACCGCCTACAATTCAATTCAATTTAACAGCTATAAATCGTGCGCTATAGGCACGTTGGTTCCAGCTACTACAGTTTCGGTCACCGGAAAATTGGAAAATGGAACATATACTACACTTTAGCAGAAGTGCACGTCTCTTCTGAATTTCTCAAAAGGAATATAGGCGTCAAGAATTTCGAGATAGCTCGAGGAGATACAAAAGTATCTGACTTACTTTGACAGGTTCCCCAGGAAATGTACCAATGAATGAGGCCTCGTAGGGGTAATTCACCATGGCCAAAGTACCCAGGAAGTCAATAAGATAATCAATTAGCTTCTGTTCATCAGGTAAGGGGTCACATAACTGGAACATCAAGCGAAGTAATTCATGTCCAGAATCTGTGTGAATCGCAAAAAAATGGTTCACCATTTTTTTTAAATAATCAAACAGGAATGCAAATAACAGATTTATTGTACCAAGGGTCCGTACAACAAGTCTATCGTATTACTAAGACAATGAATTCATCACGAAACTCATCATCATCATCGACATCGTGACATCAGTGTTCAACACCGATGCTTCACTGCCGTACAACAATGATTTATTTGAAAGCCTTATTGTAAAGAAAATAGAAAAGGTAGACGAGGAAGGGATTTGGTGGAAGCTTACTAGTCATTCCGAGGAGGCGATACCTCCAGACAGTTACTCAGGGAACCTAGATAGAAACTGACAACAAGAACGCCACTGATATCCGTTGGTGGCCATATCTTGTAGTGTCTCCAACCAGGCACAGTGAGGATCACGCGGCCCCCATCCTGGAAGGCGAGTAGCACCGACATCACCCAAGCGTTTCGTGATTCCTTTCATACCACCTGCCAGGTCAAGGGTTGGTCATCTCTCTGTTTACGCCACTCTGAGTTGAGCATAGAAAACAGCACCCTCTTCGGCTAGACATAAGCAACACATGTCCCAACCAACGGACCTTCTGGTGCGAGACACATTCTTCAATGGAATTACCCGTTGTACAACCCAAAACCCGCTTTCTAATTACTTCTTTACGAATACGCCGATACCAACCTACACGAGCGATGGTTCTGAGACAACGATTGTTGAACACCGGCAGACATCTCAGTTTCGCTGCCCGAACAGTCCAAGTCTCACAGCCATACAGCAAAACAGCCCGCACTGTAGCTTGATACACAAGTCCCTTGAGATTCATGGATACACCACTTTGACGCCATAAGTGTCTCAAATAAGCAAATGAAACCCGAGCCTTGCAGATTCGTGCATTGACCTAATCCGTCACAATACAGTTGAAACCAACACAACTACCAACATGCGTAAGACTCCCTACAACTTCCAGTTCCTTCCCTTGATCGTAAGTGGCGTGTTCAATGACTGCACGTCCACAAGCATGATCTTACAATTTGTGGGTTCAAAGTGCATACCAAAGGACGGGATAACTTTGGTCAGTTCCTCCAAGAATACTTGCACCTTCTCCGCCTCTTCGAACACGAGAACGATGTCGTCTGCATATTCCAGATCGACAAGGTTTTCTTCACAGGCTAATCGAACACCAGGGTTTTGGAGACCCTCCAGCGTTCGTCTCATTATTTCATCGATCACAAAGTTGAAAAGGAATGGAGAGAGTGGGCATCCCTGACGGACACCGCTTTGTGTACGGAAGCTCTTGGAGAGCTCTCCGCACACTCTCATACCACCGGAAGTCTGAGAATACAAAGAACGTATTATGTTTACAAACTACTGAGGCAATCCCTGGTGGGCAAGCGTCTCAGGAAGAACAGACCGATCAACCGAGTCGAATCCGCCTTGGAAATCCAGGAATACTAGGGATGTGGGTTGCTTATACGTATGGCGTTCATCTAGCACCTGTCGAAGTGTGAATATTTGGTCAACTCAACCCCTACCAGGCGGGAATCCTGATCGTTGCTCTCGAGTCAGTATCTCACGAGCCACCGTAAGGCGACGAAGTACAATTGACGCCAACAGTCTCGTTACGACCGGGGTGAAGCTGATCCCCCTGTGGTTACCATACTCAATAGGCGCCCCTTTTCTGAAAATGGGCACTAGCACCGATTCTCCCCACTTGTCTGGGACAGACTCCGTTTCCCAAATGCAGGCAAACAGATCGGATAAGCGCTGACTGAGGACTTCACCCCCGTCTTTGAACAGTGCGGGTGGGAAGGAGCTCGATGACGCTTGAGAGAACATATGCTGTCGTAAACCTCCGAGGCCGAAGGCGGTTCCATGTTCACCGTTCAGAGTTCCACCTTACCTGTGGCCTCTAGTTGAGTGAGGTTGGTGGTTACAATAGTTGTTGTTCGAAATATTCAGCCCACCGGTCGGGGTGTTCTTCTTTATCCGAGATAATCCTCTCATGTTTGATGGTTTCACTCATAGGTGGTTTCCGGTCGCACGGATCAACTGAAATAATCTTCGGGCATTACCGGATTTCTGGGCCTCTTCCATTTCTCTGGATTTCTATGTCCATCACACTTCACGGTCGGTTTGTACGCTCACCTTCACTTGACGTCTGATAATTGGTCGCATCAAGTTATGTTCAGGGCTGGTTGGAATGTTTCTCCAAGATTTAAGCAGTGCCACCGTTCGGTCTGATATCCGGTGTTTTGGGTGCGCCAGGTGGCAATCTCGTCCCAGTGTGAGTTCGCATCTGATGGTGGAATCTTTGGAAGAGACTCTAGAAGACGATTCTGGTAAGTTCGTCTAACATCCGGATCTGCCAGTCTTTCAGTTGCCAGGCGATTCATCCGCACCTTACGCGGCCCCGGGAAACGTAGGAAGAAGCGACACCGGACGAGCGCGTGGTCAGAGTCCAAAAATGTGTTTCAAAACGACCGACAGTCAGTCATTGATCCGCGCCATCAGTAACTGATGGCAATGTGGTCGAATCGTGGCCACTATAATACAGTGCATAAAACTTTCTCAGTGGGTCCTACCCAAGTAGCAGGTTGTCCCGGCATTTTGCAAGAGGTGGAAATTGTCAGATCAACACAGACCAGTGGGGTATTCCCCCCCCCATACCAACCAGACTAATATATATATATATATATATATATATATATATATATATATAGGGGCGATCAGAACAAAGAGCACACTGAAACACGAGTACCGGAACAAATAGTAAGTTTGCAAGTCAACATCACAGATCACTAGGACTCACGCTGCTTGGCGACATTGCGTATAGAATCCCACACTAAGGCGACGTTCTTTGTGCAAGCCGTGCTCCCTGATGTGGAGAACGCACGAGTCGCTGTGTCGTAGAATCCCGCACAATTGGACATATTCGGAAACAGCCATATAGGAGCAGATGCAGCAATGGCACTGAAATACGAAACGAAAGACAACGATGGTTGCCAATAGCAAACACGATAGTGGGAGGAATAACCGGATACTCGGGGGGTTTCCTCACTCGATAGCATTCACCACAAATTTCACCTAATCGGACCAGGTAACACAAAATTGGCTGTTGGGAGGAATGTAGATCACATATATATGCTGAAGGGGTGTAACATTCATTGAGCAGCATAAAGTGAGTCAGTTAGATTTCAGTGTTATGCGTGTATGAGTAACTTGTAACGAGATTCTGGTGATTTCCGTTGTCAGAAGCGAATTGCTGGTGAAAATTATATTAGACTGGCGAAAGACGAAATCCGTTCCCGGATCGGCAAGTCCAGGAAAGCCTTTGTCAACATTCGACATTCAAGGCACCAGTGAACTGTCAATAAAAAAAACTGACTGGTTACCTGTCACTCAATACACCTTTAGAACGAACGTATATCTGGCACAGCTCTCGAACAGAAACGACTTTGGAAGTTTTCCATTTCTCGGCGGCCCGCTTATTTTTTTTCTTATGTTCACCAATCCCGGTGTGAAGTTCTCTAGCTGTCCGTTTTATGCAGACTTTGTTGCAGTCCCTGCATATAGTTGTGTAGACAATCGCTGGTTCTATTCACCGAGAGGCAATGCTTATACTGCATCAGTACAGAGCGCAATGTTTGCCTTCTGGAACTCTACTCCTATGATAACCGTGTCTAGAATCCTTCGAAAGACTTCGGTTGTTTCTGGTTCATATGGAACAGCAGCAAATCTAATCCATCCAGTTGGGTTTCACCACCGGAATTAGTGCTCTTCTCAATACCAAAATGTGATTGAGAAATCAGGTCATTCTGACAGTTGTAAAACTCTCCAGCTTTGGCCCACCTAACCACAAAATTGTCATCTACGTAACTCCAAAATATCCTTCATCGGCATGAAAATCCGGCTAAGGATTTCTGTTTGAAATCTTGTTTAAAGAGTGTACAGAAACAACACACTACGCAAACGGTTGCTGAAAACTATTCGATAGCCCACGATCGGTCTCAGCCTGATTGGGGCTCATGGGGTAGGCGCAGTCCCCTACGTCCCGTCGACCTTACGTTCTGCTTGAACCCAAATTGCATGAAATTCGGCATATACTCTCAACTGCATACCAATTTGGTTTTCACGGGAGACTCACCTGAATTCCAGCTGAATCGCGTCTTCGAATGAATATGCTGCAATAGGCCGCCTCGTTTCAGGTGGTACGATATTCGAGATGTCAGAATACATTGCACAGACGTAACACACTACTCATAAGAGACTGTGTCTACCTGTTGAGCCCATATAAGAAGGGCAAAACCGGCCGTGAACTGTCGAAAAGTTTTCAACAACCTTATGAGTAGCGCGCTAAATTTATGCAATATGTTGCTATATCTCGAATATCTTGCCAACTGAAATATGAGGCAATCCGGTGCAGCACATACAGTCGAAGAACAATATAAACGAAATTCGGTTGGGATTCAGGTGAGTCTCTCGTGAAAACCATATTGGGATGCAGATGAGTGTATTTGTCAAACTTCCATACAGATAGTTGCCAGAACCTTGCACATTTGAGATCTCATGGTTCCTGAGCACAAACACCGGAGTTAAAAATGAAGTGTGAGATTCAGGCATGTCTTTCTGCCTTCCACTATTTGACCTACGGTGAGCTGTGTCCGTCTTGAAAGTCTGCCGATGGCGATTGCTTGACTGTTTCTAAAGAGCTCTCTTTCGGCACACTCGTATACAACGAGTAGACATCGAAATCCACAAGAATGTCAAGTGATTCCATGAGACAACCATGGAAAGTCGTATGAATTCTTAACACAAGCACCCGATTTTCCAGTGGATTTATATTGCCTGCCGAGAATCTGCTCAGCACATGGAGTGGGGACATCCGCTTTGTGGATTTTTACCAGGCCGTAAAGCCGTGGTTGGACTACACTTTTAAGGTGCCATCGGTAAAGCCGCTTATCTCACTTTAGACGACTTAGCACAGATCGCAAATACTCACCAACTCCAACTTTACTCCTATTAATTACAGAAGTGACATTTTCACCATCGATTAGCCGTTAAGCTCCTCCAGTTAGGTGTTGTCTGACCTTCCGTAGGTGACCACTCTCATGAAACAAAGGCTCTACTCTATTCCGCCTCTGTAATCACTGCAGTGTTCACCTGTTTTGAGTGTTCAACGCTATCCGCTTCATTTGAGGAATATTTAGTTAGTGGCTTTGAGGCTTAAGGACCGTGACACACCTCAGCTTCCAGTGAAAGAAGTTTTTTTTTTTTGAAAAGCAAATTCAACGCTGGGAATCAGTTGTTCCACTCTTATAACTCTTCTACTTACCGTAAAAATACAAGCCCTTCTCTAACAGAAGACGCTTCTCCTCGCTTCTTCTACTCGCGGTCTACTTGATAAATTTATCAAGCTACAATAGCTAGTTGGAGGTTCACGCTTCACTATGGGCTCATCGGAAAGCTGGGTCGTGCAAGTCGACCTTTTGCATTCGTCGTTTTGATGTTAATTAGCAATTAACCTGTGTGAGGTAGCGCGGTCTAGACATCGTGGCTGAAGCAACGTGTGTAGCGACAGATATCAGATAAACGCTGAGCAGTTGGGTGGATGCTCTGTTTTATAAGACGACCACAGAGAAGCGAGCAATATATCCGGTGGCTTAGTCAGTAAAGACGGAGAAAATATCAGGAAGATGTGTTCCGATTTACATGCTAGGTTAGTGTTGAAGGTGTGTTAAAGAGTCTTGTTGATTAGCGGGGGTACCTAAATCCTACGGTCGTTGGATTTCCGTCCATCAGTTTGTCTGACAAGAGCAGGGTATACACCCCTTTATTGATAAGCAAAGTGGCCCCTACGTGCAGAGGTGGTACGGAAGTTGTCAGTGTTTGGCCATCGGTGATTCCTAAGCATTGGTCGGGCCTGGTGGGAACACTGGATTAGCAATGCTGGCGTACGCAAGATGGCTTAAGAAAAAGGGACTATTCACGATGGATGAATTACGCTTTATAAGTTACGCTGGTTGGGACATGTACTCTGCAGGCCACAGAACCGACTGCCTCAGCAGAGCTCATTTCGGCCAACCCTGTGCCCAGCGGAAGCGACAGAAAGGATGTGTACGACCTACTAGTGTACCGGTGGTACTACTGATGGGGGGCATGCGAGTAGTATGTGTTGTTCTCGGAATTTCGCTTTGCGTATTTTGAAAAGGGGAGATCTGTTACGGAAATTGTGGAGTCACTTTGTAACATTTGCTCGCATTTGAGCAATGAATGATTGGAGTCAATGAATATCCAGGAAAGTTCAAGAAGACGCGTTAAGGAGAAGATGGATGTCCAGTTTTTGTAAATAAGATGCAAAGGAGAGTTTTGCTTCCCAGTCCAATGGTGTGCGGTCGGTCAGTTGGCATTTTCTAATAAATAACTCCACAACAAATGCCTTCCTTTCACCAGTAGTCTTTCAGCTGTCCAGTAACCTAGCTGAAATATCATCCAAAGGAAAGATGAGGGTAGGGATACTGCCAGGTTGCTCAGGAGCCATCGAGCTTCAGAGGTAAGGTCACGGACCCTCTGATTAGTAAACTCACAACCTAATCACTGAGCTAGGGTCAGTGTATTACATGACAATGGGGTGTAAAAGCATAAAGCAGTAAACATTTATTCGGTTACAAACATGAACAATATCATCATCATCACCATCAATGACAGCAACATCAGTGTTGGCATTGATGCTTCACTGCCGCACAACCATAAAGCTCGTTTAGTTATATATATATATA